TCGGACTGTATGCGGGATGCGCCAAAAGTTCCCAACCAAGACTTTTTATTTTAGAGCTAGTCAGTTTTGCAACATGAGGGCGCGCGTTGTCGTGGAGGAGAACGATCTTTGACTTGGAGGGCCTATTCTTCTTCAGGGATTCATTCACCTTTCCCAACTGTTCACTGTATTTGATTGCATTAAGGGTCGTCTTGCCATCCAGGAACTCCCAGTACACCACTCACTCCATATCCCAGAAAACGCAGAACATAAACTTCTTCTAGTGCAAATCGAGCTTAGGGTCACTTTCGGGTTTCTCGCCTGGCCCCACCCATTGCCACTTCCTCTGAAAGTTCGCAGATAAAACCTATTTCTCATCTCCTATCACAATTCGAGAAAGAAAAGATTTCCTTTTGTATTGTGAGAGATGGACGGCACTGATCGAGGCGCGCTGCCACTTCTGGGGGTCAGGGAGGTCATGGGGCACCCAAGTCCCAAGTTTCGATTTAAATCCAAGGGTATGAAGGTGCCTTAGCACTGTAGCATGATCAACCCCTAACTCTTCTCCCAATTCACGCGATGATACCCGGTGGTCGTTGGTAATGAGTTCGAGTAATTTGGTATCATCCAGTTGGGGTGCCGCTCCACGACCCTCTGCATCTTTCAAAGATTTGTCCCCAGATCGGAACTTGGCAAACTATACTTGACAGGTTCTTTCGGAAGGTGAGTCCTCCCTATATATCTTTTTAATATTAGCCGCTTCCAAGCCTGCACTGTGCTCTTGCAGGAACTCATGAAGCATGATATGACGAATATTTCCCGGTGGCAGATTGTCGAGTGCAATAAAAAAAGTGAAGAAAAATACCAAAAAATAAAAAGCTGGAAGCATAATTTTTTCGCAAAAATTTGTTTAATAATGTTAGGAAATGTTTAACTAACCAAACCCCCTTTCAGCTGGTTCAATGCTGTTGTTTTTTTTTATCTGTCCGGCGAGATAGTCGGCAGTTATCAATTCACCAACCCAATACTTAAAACCAAAGAAAATTATTTAAAGTTTGTTTTCATTTGTGGCCCTAAAGAGGGCCGTTGGGTTTGGGGTTTTTGTTGTTCATTCAACAGCTGATCCAGAGCTTATTCCTTGTCTCCGGCGGTCTTCTTTGGGAGAAGCACGGCTTGGATGTTTGGAAGGACTCCTCCTTGAGCGATGGTGACTCCGGACAACAATTTGTTCAACTCCTCGTCATTTCTGACGGCCAATTGGAGATGGCGGGGGTTGATTCTGGTCTTCTTGTTGTCACGAGCGGCATTACCGGCCAACTCAAGCACCTCAGCGGCGAGGTATTCGAGCACGGCGGCAAGGTACACTGGGGCTCCGGCTCCGACACGTTGAGCATAGTGACCCTTGCGGAGGAGACGGTGAAGGCGACCAACGGGGAATTGGAGTCCGGCACGAACCGAGCGGGATTTGGCCTTGCCTCCGGTCTTGGCTTTGCCTCCTTTACCACGTCCAGACATTGTTGAGAGAGTTGAAGAGAATTGGCGACTGAGAACTGTCGATAGATTCGAAGGGGAATTCAAGGGTTTATAAAGGTCTTGGAGTCAATGGGCGGGGTTTTGTGAGATGGAAGGGGGGGATTCCAAGTGGGAGAAGGGAAAGAGGGAAATTGTAGAGAAAATTGGGGCAGCCCTGGCATCATTTTAGACCCCACCCCTCCACCCGATCCCTCATAAAAGAACCCCTCCAAACCCCACCCTTCATCTTGTGTTCGACAACCCAAGCCAACTCTAAACTTCAACATGCCACCAAAGCCATCAGCCAAGGGAGCCAAGAAGGCCGCCAAGACCCAGAAGACCCCTCGTTCTGGAGACAAGAAGCGAAGAAAGTCGAGAAAGGAGTCGTACTCGGTCTACATCTACCGTGTCCTCAAGCAAGTCCACCCCGACACCGGTGTCTCCTCAAAGGCCATGTCAATCATGAACTCGTTCGTGAATGACGTCTTTGAGCGCATCGGTGCTGAGGCTTCTCGCCTTGCTCACTACAACAAACGGTCCACGATCTCATCTCGTGAAATCCAGACCGCTGTCCGTCTCATCTTGCCCGGAGAGCTCGCCAAGCACGCCGTCTCTGAGGGTACCAAGGCTGTCACCAAGTACACCTCATCCAAATAAATCTCCTAGAGATCGAAAGGTTACCAAAAACACCCAACCCAACGGCCCTCTTTAGGGCCACAAATGAACAGAAAGATTTAAATTTATAAACTTTAGGAGATTAGACCTTATAAATTTTGATTTACATTCTTGATCCTACAAGAAAAACTTGATGCTTTAATCGATAGAAATTTGGGTGATTCGCTGAATAAACCCTAGTTTGGCGGTCGAGCGAAGGAAAGAAAATATCTTACCTGATTAAGCATTTCGAGCAAAAAAATGGTTTTATCACTGAATCGATTCTCCAGAACTTGCTACTTTAACTGTTATCCATTGTTCCTTTTGGGTAGCTTTTAGACAGTAAAGAGCCTCTGAGTACTAAATACAGTAAAAAAAATATGGAATCTAATCTGCAAAAATTGTCATTGACAAGCTTAAAGTCTAGTTTGGATTTCACCTTCACAATGCAAAGCGTGTTTCACTTATAACTTGTTTTAAATTGAATAAAATCGTTTTTCAGTTCACGTTTGCATTTCAGGTTTTTACAGTTTAGGAGTCAAAAGTGACAAACTAATGTATTAAAGCCTATTCAGCACATCGAGTTCAGCAAAGCTTGGGTTAATTCTTTTCGGCATCCTGACTGGGCCCAAACTCTCGTCTCCTGATTTTCTTTTGATTGAATCACTCTCTCCCCCAATGGCCTCATTTTGGAGGGAAATTTGGCGCCAAAATGCCTGGAGTGATGCCAATGGCTTTGGTTTGGATAGCCTGGAGGAGTGATTGGGTCAAGAAAAAAGAGCCAAAGGTAAAAGTCTTACCATGTGAATCTGTAAGCATAATTTGTCTAGGTTCGAAATTCAAAGTCGGTATGCTATGAATTCAGCTCTTGTGAATCTACGGACTCGAAACTTAAAACCATACATTGAAAGTTCTCAAAACAAATTCTTCTTATGAAAGGGAGTTTTAAAGTTAGCTATGAATGCTAATAAATTGATGTTGTTTGAGGGCTGTTAGTGGGTAGAAGTTTGAACGGCTCTGGGTCAATCTTGTGAATGTACGCTCGAAACTTAAAACCATACATGGAAATTTGGCAAATTGGGTGTCTGTGGCAAATTTCTCTTAACATTGTAAAATAATAGCAGAGACAAGCAGTATCCCTTGTTCAACTTTTAGTTTAAAACATTGCTAGACTTTATTTAATCAAAGATCTAACAAGTCTAGCACAAACTTATTGTGCATAGAGTTCGTAAAACTCTTTAGAGTCTTAATGGATGATGTCATTGCAAGCTCTTTAGAACCTTGGTTCGTGATTTCATTTTCTTTCATTTGTGGCCCTAAAGAGGGCCGTTGGGTTTGGGGTTTTTCAATGGTGCAGTGCTGCGAACATTTAAGCACGCTCTCCACGGATGCGGCGGGCGAGTTGGATGTCCTTTGGCATGATGGTGACACGCTTGGCATGGATGGCACAGAGGTTGGTGTCCTCGAAGAGACCGACGAGGTAAGCCTCTGCAGACTCTTGAAGAGCCATCACAGCCGACGATTGGAAGCGGAGGTCGGTCTTGAAGTCTTGAGCGATCTCACGGACAAGTCGCTGGAAGGGCAACTTGCGGATGAGAAGCTCGGTGGACTTCTGGTACCGACGGATCTCACGGAGAGCCACGGTTCCTGGACGGTAACGATGGGGCTTCTTGACTCCTCCGGTGGCTGGGGCCGATTTGCGGGCAGCCTTGGTGGCCAATTGTTTGCGGGGGGCCTTTCCTCCGGTCGATTTGCGAGCAGTTTGCTTGGTGCGAGCCATTTTCGAGTCAGATGCGATGCACTGATGGTTTTGAGAGGGAAAGAAGGAGTCTTATAAAGGGTGAGGGGCGGGGCGGGACAAAGAAAATGAGTAGAATTGGAGCCAGAAACTGCCTTGTGAAGTGGCTGGGCGGGGTTTCCTTACCCAACTCCGGCACCTCCTTTCTCTCCCCGGCATCCCTCCTCAAGTCCCATTCCTTTCCCCTATAAATACCCCATCCAAACCACTCATTCCCCATCTCAACTGAGCAACTGAACAATGTCTGGACGTGGAAAGGGAGGCAAAGGACTCGGCAAGGGAGGCGCCAAGCGTCATCGCAAAGTTCTCCGCGACAACATCCAAGGAATCACCAAGCCGGCTATCCGACGTTTGGCCCGTCGTGGTGGTGTGAAGCGTATCTCTGGATTGATCTACGAGGAAACCCGGGGAGTTCTCAAGGTTTTCTTGGAGAACGTGATCCGTGATGCCGTCACCTATTGTGAGCACGCCAAGAGGAAGACTGTCACCGCCATGGATGTCGTCTATGCCTTGAAGCGTCAAGGACGTACCTTGTACGGATTCGGTGGATAAGAACCCACGAGAAGCAATTCTCAAAACAAAACCCCAACCCAACGGCCCTCTTTAGGGCCACAAATGAATCAAACCAATAAAAATATTTCGCAATAAAGAGATCAGTTTTTCTAGTGGAAGATTGATAGGCCGCTGGAGACTTCTGCTTTTTAGGCTAAACGTAAATGCTCATTCAAAATTCAAAGAAAATTCCAGCTGTTTCTGATGGGCCACAATGTTTTCAGGACCTGCTGTTCCAGCCGCAGCCAGACGGAGAAGCCAATTTGACGACATGTCTTTGATCAACGGACAAGTTTACCAGAGGACACTTATAACTCGACAGATCGCAAGTGAGTTCATCTTTAGCAGCTTCACTCTCTTCAACCAAACTCTGCATTTGTGAAGCGACATTAAGTACTGTATCGGAGAAAAAGCAAAATACTGAGAATTAGTTAAGTTAATCAACGTAATTGGATGAAATAACAAACAAATGCAACACACACACCAACAATAAATGGCTTGATTAGGCGTCGCCTCCAGCGGATTGAACTGGTGCAGGTTGTTCAACAGACGGTTCGTCAACCTTTAGCTTCTTCATGGCACTGCCCTCTTCCTCGCCGGTTTGATCTTCAGTATCGGCCCGCTTGCGCTCATTCTCTTTGTCGCCAGAAACCTTAAGAAAGAGGTTAAAGATTCATAAACAAGATCCACTAACCATGTCGACGTCGGTCTTTGGTGCACCAGCTTCTTCGGCCTCAGCTTCAGCAACCTTTTTCTCGTCCTTGCCATCAGAGCACTAAACTATTCATTACTAAACAGCAAAATAAATGTTTTTACTTCTCCGTCCTCCGCTTTTTCGGCGTCTGCCTCGTGCTCCTCAGCTGATTCCTCGGCTTCGGGTGTGGCGTCCTCCTGAGCAACAACCTAAACAAAAGTGATTATTTAGCACCATATGATTAAAAATACTAACTGATTCAGTTAGTAGAGTCGGCATTTTTAGATGTGACCAGTCATCATATCAAATCAATACAAGACCAATAATTTTAAAATGTTTAAAATGTATGATTATTAAAGTTTAAAAGCTTAAAAAAAAAGTTTAAAACCAATACCTCGTCGCCACTTTCCTGTTCGCTTTCGTGCTTCTTCTCGCCCTCAGCCTTGGAAACGGCCTCTTGCACAGGTGCAGCCTAGAATGAAAAATTACGTAAAGAAAAAATCCTCCAACCGATCCCTCCACATCTTGCTTCGTAGCGTCCTCCGGCTTCAAATGCTCGGCTGGCTTGCCCTCAACAACGGTGGCTGTGTTTTCAGTCGTCATCGCTGCTAAAATTAAAAATTTTTACCGATTACAAACAAGTAAATTGGCAAAGAAAATTCAGTGCAACATAAGAGGTTCCGAAGAAGGAAGTAGTGGAGTGTAAGGACTCCAAAAAGGCTTTTTTAAAAAATAGCTTTAAAGTTTTAAAATGTGAACGGGAAAAGGACAAAAGCAATTCTATTGCCACGCGTCGATTGGAAGCGTGTAAAGTGGACTGAATGAAAGAAAAGAATGAAGCGCTAGCAAAAGTCTCCGACAAAAAAATAAGATACTCAATTAATAAGCTGAATATCCTTTTGTTGTCTCACAAAGGAATATGTGCAAAATAGAATTGCAGCTTTGGTTCTCTTAACGAAAATCAAAGATTTTTGATTTGCAATCCAAAGTTTTAGTGCTTAAACTTTCAAAACAATTTCAAATATGGCTTTTCGTTGACGGATCAAACATGCCCAGCTTTTATCGAAGATGTGCTTCAAAGAATGTTTTCAAGTAAGTTTTGGATCAATCACCACTTAAGCTTACTCTTAGCTAATGCCAGATAATTATCTTTCTCAAGCTTATCATCTCATTCAGATACGGTACCGATGTTGCTCAACAACAAATGTGAACCTACTATTCAATGGTGCCATTGCAGTCACTCATGGAGCTCTGATATCGCCGAGCAATGGCTAGAGAAGTGACTGAAGGCTTGAGAGAGCTAAAACAAGCTTTTCAGACTCCAATTGAGGCGGGTGTTTGGATTGGACAACTCCGGCAACAGGCAGCTCAAATCATTTGACAGCAACACACCGAGCAAATTGCTCAACCAATTCCTCAAATGGTTCAACAAGCAGCTCCAGCCACAAGAAGTTCAGCAGGTAAAAGCGAAAAGCAAATGATAGCTATGACTTGTTGTAATCGTGGCTTAGAAATCTTTTTAGAAAAGTCCATCAAGATCATCAGGTGGTTTCATACAAAAATTCGCCCAATTCGTTCAGAGGAAAACATCGAGTGAGGCAAAGTTGCCGGATGATTCAAATCCGAAAGTGGGTAGCAAAACTAAATAATGTAACAAATAACAGTTTAATTACAAGGTTCGATATGATCCAGTGCTCAATCAGTGGGTTAGTGATGGAGTGGAGGAAGAAGTGTCCCCAGCACCACCTCCAATGATGTCAGCAATGGGTCCAGCTCCAGCTGAGGCCTGCTAATCCCTTAGCTGCTGGAGCTACGCAAATGAACAAGATTGAAAATTAGTAACATAATACCTTAACTGTTACATTTCTGTTCCTGCTAACCCGAAAGTTTTCAAACCCAACTGCTCTATCCTCTCCGCCAGCTCCTGCACCCACAACGGGACTTTGAGGGGCTCTAGCAGGCGGTGCCGCCACACGGTGTCGCAATATTTTTATTTATTATCTGTTTTCATTTCAAGATTAACTGCGAAACTTTCGAGATTAAATTGAGTATCGTTTTCCATCATGTTTTATAGTGTGATTTTCCCCATCGTGATCCGTTCTTCATTTCTCTCTTCTCCGAATCTTTTTAGTGCCAAATTTAAGCAGATAATGTAAGGGAGCCGAAATTTACATTTATCATTTAAACGTTACTGTAATTGCATGCAAATTTCAGTGAACCTCCTAGTCAACTGTCTTTGCTCCCCTTCAAACTTGGTCTATTCTGTCCTAAATTATTGAATCTGAAATTGTTCGATGCAAAATGGTACTAACAAAAGTCTCTACTCCCCTCATTTTTCTCTTTTTTAACACAAGGCCCCGGTTTTTTGAAATAACGAAGATGAATGTTTGGACTATATTTTCCTTTCTTAAATATTTCCTTGTCTATTGTGTGCATTTTTTTTCAGGAGTAAATATTTTATAGTTTTACTTGCAGGGAATATAACACGATTTGAGAACTTCTAAAGTTGTAGATTGTAGGTTATGTGGAAATTGAGAGTTAGGAAAATGCAAATGCAACCGAGAATTGCTTTGTCACATACACAATTTCGTTTCATTTTGAGCCTTATGCTTTTTAAGCCTTGAAAGGGATCACTGCAAGTTAGTGAAAAGTGGAGTCTTACAGCTTTAAAGTATGTATTCCAGTTTTCAGTCAGTTTTATACAATATTTTAAACTATGTATAGTGAAATTCAAAGCTTATTTTGACGAATTTTTCTTGGCATCTTGACCCGGTCTAAACTCTGATTGTCTAATTCTCTCTCTCACCACAGCCAAAGTTTTGATTTTGGCGCCCAAACGCTGACCCCACTTCAGGTTAGCCGCTAAAATCGGTAAAAACTTATTGAGTATTATTCAATAAAATCAATGCACTAAACCTGCTTTAAGCTGAGATTTTAGAAAAGCAAGAGCCAAGTTTTGCTTGATAGATCTGTCTGATTTCATGATTATCTCTGATGATTGAATTGAATCATTGATGATTGAATCTTTCAAGAGAAACCGTACTACAGAAGTATGGATCTTTAAGACGTTTGTAAAGATTTAACTGAAGAGGTCTATTGGTTTTATTTCTTTTGTGGCCCTAAAGAGGGCCGTTGGGTTTGGGGTTTTTTTGTTGATTCTTCAACAGCTTATTCCTTGTCTCCGGCGGTCTTCTTTGGGAGAAGAACGGCTTGGATGTTTGGAAGGACTCCTCCTTGAGCGATGGTGACTCCGGACAACAATTTGTTCAACTCCTCGTCATTTCTGACGGCCAATTGGAGATGGCGGGGGTTGATTCTGGTCTTCTTGTTGTCACGAGCGGCATTACCGGCCAACTCCAACACCTCAGCAGCGAGGTATTCGAGCACGGCGGCAAGGTACACTGGGGCTCCAGCTCCGACACGTTGAGCATAGTGGCCCTTGCGGAGGAGACGGTGAAGGCGACCAACGGGGAATTGAAGTCCAGCACGAACCGAGCGGGATTTCGCCTTGCCTCCGGTCTTGGCTTTGCCTCCTTTACCACGTCCAGACATTGTTGAGAGAGTTGAAGAGAATTGGCGACTGAGAACTGTCGATAGATTTGTGGGGGAATTGAAGGGTTTATAAAGGTTTCGGAGTGAATGGGCGGGTTTTGGTGAGATGGAAAGGCGGGGTAATAATAGAGAAAAGGGGAAGAGGGAAATTGTAGAGAGGATTGGGGTACCCCCAGGGTCAACCCTGGCATCATTTTAGACCCCACCCCTCCACCCGATCCCTCATAAAAGAACCCCTCCGAACCCCAACCTTCATCTTGTGTTCGACAACCCAAGCCAACTCTCAACTTCGACATGCCACCAAAGCCATCCGCCAAAGGAGCCAAGAAGGCCGCCAAGACCCAGAAGACCCCTCGTTCTGGAGACAAGAAGAGAAGAAAGTCGAGAAAGGAATCCTACTCGGTCTACATCTACCGTGTCCTCAAGCAAGTCCACCCCGACACCGGTGTCTCCTCCAAAGCCATGTCAATCATGAACTCGTTCGTGAACGACGTCTTTGAGCGCATCGGTGCTGAGGCTTCTCGTCTCGCTCACTACAACAAACGGTCAACGATCTCATCCCGTGAAATCCAGACCGCTGTCCGTCTCATCTTGCCCGGAGAGCTCGCCAAGCACGCCGTCTCTGAGGGTACCAAGGCTGTCACCAAGTACACCTCATCCAAATAAATCTCCTAGAGATTGAAAGGATACCAAAAACCCCCAACCCAACGGCCCTCTTCAGGGCCACAAATGAATTTGAACTCAAAAGTATAAAGACCAATAGTGAATATGGATTATCTCAAGAATTTATCCTACTACCAAGAATGTGAGTTAGTTGTTTGAACAAATTGTAAATGTTAGAATTGTTAGATTCTCTAAATTCTGTAGAATGCCTTTAAAAAAATAAGCCTAGAAAATAAAAGGCTCAAAGATAAATTTATCGTACCAATACTTGGGCTTGTGTCGACGTTCTCCTGCAAGTTTTTTCATTTAGATAAATTTACTGGTAAATTCTCTTGGCCTTAGTTTGAACTTCTAGAAAATCTTGTTTTTGGTCCTGATTTGTAATCCAGTTCACATAGCATTTTTCGACAACAACTATGATACTTAAAACTCGTAGCCTCATTAAAGTTACAATTTTGGCTTTCGATTTTTACACATTTTGGGGTGAGTCCTTTATTGGCATCCTGACCGGGTTCAAACGCTCGTCGACTAATTCTCTCATTCATCTTCTTTCTTACACAACGGCCCGTTTTGGAGAGAAATTTGGCGCTAAAACACCTGGAGTAATGCCAATGGCTTGTAAAGAAAAGGATTAGGTCAACAAAAGTAATCAAAGGGTGCCTAGAGGCAACGCGAATCAATAGTGACAGAATCTGGATAACCTAGAGAAGTGATTGGGTCAGGAAAAAGACTCAAGGGTCAAGAAAAAGGCTCACACCATGGGTTATGTGGATCAATAAGGATCAGCTTCGATTTGAATCAAAAGAAGTATAAAACTTATCTTAGAACTAGAACTTGTAAATATGCACTTAAAAATATAAACTGGAGTTCTTAAAAACACGCTTCTTTTATAAAAGATGAATGGAAAGTTTGAAAAGTATCTATGAAAAGTGATGCAACAGCTAAGAGTTTAAATTTGCATTAGGTAATTGCTGTTAGTGAGTAAAAGATTAAAGGGTTCTTCTTAAATTGGTATGTGTCATCAAGCTAGTTTCTCTTTAAATTGTAAACGAATGACACGGAGTTCGGTCGAAAGTGCATTTAGAGTTTCTTTTCAAACTTTTAGTTTCAGAGTCATAAATTTGGCTGAACTCCTCATAATTCATTCTTTCTTTGGTTTAATAATAAATTCATTTGTGGCCCTAAAGAGGGCCGTTGGGTTTGGGGTTTTTTAAGCGTTCAGTGCTTCAGCTTTATCAAGCCTAAGACACTTAAGCACGCTCTCCACGGATGCGGCGGGCGAGTTGGATGTCCTTTGGCATGATGGTGACGCGCTTGGCGTGGATGGCACAGAGGTTGGTGTCCTCGAAGAGACCGACGAGGTAAGCCTCTGCAGACTCTTGAAGAGCCATCACAGCGGACGATTGGAAGCGGAGGTCGGTCTTGAAGTCTTGAGCGATTTCACGGACAAGTCGCTGGAAGGGCAACTTGCGGATGAGAAGCTCGGTGGACTTCTGGTAACGACGGATCTCACGAAGAGCCACGGTTCCCGGACGGTAACGGTGGGGCTTCTTGACTCCTCCGGTGGCTGGGGCCGATTTGCGGGCAGCCTTGGTGGCCAATTGTTTGCGGGGAGCCTTTCCTCCGGTCGATTTGCGAGCAGTTTGCTTGGTGCGAGCCATTTTCGTGTCAGATGCGATGCACTGATGGTTTTGAGAGGGAAAGAGGGAGTCTTATAAAGGGTGAGGGGCGGGGCAAGGACGGAAAAAATGAGTAGAATTGGAGCCAGAAAACTGCCTTGTGAAGTGGCTGGGCGGGGTTTCTTTACCCAAATTTACACCTTCTTTCTCTCCCCGGCATCCCTCCTCAAGTCCCATTCCTTTCACCTATAAATACCCCTTCCAATCCACCGATGCCCCATCTCATCACTGAGCAACTGAACAATGTCTGGACGTGGAAAGGGAGGCAAAGGACTCGGCAAGGGAGGCGCCAAGCGTCATCGCAAAGTTCTCCGCGACAACATCCAAGGAATCACCAAGCCGGCTATCCGTCGTTTGGCCCGTCGTGGTGGTGTGAAGCGTATCTCTGGATTGATCTACGAGGAGACTCGTGGAGTTCTCAAGGTTTTCTTGGAGAACGTGATCCGTGATGCCGTCACCTATTGTGAGCACGCCAAGAGAAAGACTGTGACGGCCATGGATGTCGTCTATGCCTTGAAGCGTCAAGGACGTACCTTGTACGGATTCGGTGGATAAGAACTCACGAGAAGCAATTCTCAAAAAAACCCCAACCCAACGGCCCTCTTTAGGGCCACAAATGATTTTCAAGTTAAATTTAGGTATATAGAACAGTTAAGACTTTAAACTAGTTTTTTTTATGAATGGACGTGGTCTTAGACCTCTGAATCTTTGTGAGCAAATCTTTGCACAACTTTACTCTTTCAATTCATTTGTTACTTTCAAAAATTGTTCTGGGAATTGATTTTCGCATCCAACAAGGCTCAGACTCTAATCACTCAATTCTCTCGCTCTCTTTCGTACAATGACCCTTTTGGAGAGAAATTTGGCGTTCAAACGCCTGGAGTGATGCAAACGGC